TAAGGGCCGAGGTCTCGTTCGTTATCGCAATTAAGCAGACAAATCACTCCACCAACTAAGAACGGCCATGCACCACCATCCAAAAGATCAAGAAAGAGCTCTCAATCTGTCAATCCTTATTTTGTCTGGACCTGGTGAGTTTCCCCGTGTTGAGTCAAATTAAGCCGCAGGCTCCACGCCTGGTGGTGCCCTTCCGTCAATTTCTTTAAGTTTCAGCCTTGCGACCATACTCCCCCAGAACCCAAAAACTTTGATTTCTCGTAAGGTGCCGAACGGGTCATAATAGAAACACCGTCCGATCCCTAGTCGGCATAGTTTATGGTTAAGACTACGACGGTATCTGATCGTCTTCGATCCCCTAACTTTCGTTCCCTGATTAATGAAAACATCCTTGGCGAATGCTTTCGCAGTAGTTAGTCTTCAGCAAATCCAAGAATTTCACCTCTGACAGCTGAATACTGACGCCCCCGACTATCCCTATTAATCATTACGGCGGTCCTAGAAACCAACAAAATAGAACCACACGTCCTATTCTATTATTCCATGCTAATGTATTCGAGCAAAGGCCTGCTTTGAACACTCTAATTTTTTCACAGTAAAAGTCCTGGTTCCCCCCACAGCCAGTGAAGGCCATGGGATTCCCCAGAAGGAAAGGTCCAGCCGGACCAGTACTCGCGGTGAGGCGGACCGGCCAGCCAGACCCAAGGTTCAACTACGAGCTTTTTAACTGCAACAACTTTAATATACGCTATTGGAGCTGGAATTACCGCGGCTGCTGGCACCAGACTTGCCCTCCAATTGTTCCTCGTTAAGGGATTTAAATTGTACTCATTCCAATTACGAGACCCAAAAGAGCCCCGTATCAGTATTTATTGTCACTACCTCCCCGTGTCGGGATTGGGTAATTTGCGCGCCTGCTGCCTTCCTTGGATGTGGTAGCCGTTTCTCAGGCTCCCTCTCCGGAATCGAACCCTAATTCCCCGTTACCCGTTGCCACCATGGTAGGCCACTATCCTACCATCGAAAGTTGATAGGGCAGAAATTTGAATGAACCATCGCCGGCGCAAGGCCATGCGATTCGTTAAGTTATTATGATTCACCAAGGAGCCCCGAAGGGCATTGGTTTTTTATCTAATAAATACACCCCTTCCGAAGTCGAGGTTTTCAGCATGTATTAGCTCTAGAATTACCACAGGTATCCATGTAGTAAGGTACTATCAAATAAACGATAACTGATTTAATGAGCCATTCGCAGTTTCACGGTATAAAGTGCTTATACTTAGACATGCATGGCTTAATCTTTGAGACAAGCATATGACTACTGGCAGAATCAACCAGATACCTAGTTCCTGCTGGGGATGCCCGGGCGGAGCCCGGAACACCCCCCAAAGCCCCCGGAGGGGCAGCGTTGTACGTAGGCTTCACTCTGGAAGGAGCGCACGAGGCGCCCGGCCACAGCGACACCCCCGGCGTACCGGGAGCACACATGTGACCATCCGATTGCCCCCACTGTAGCTCCCCAGGAACCGGTCCGCACGCAGGGATCCCGCCAGTGCCCTCACGGGCGCTGACGGGCTGCGGCATACGGCCCTCGGGTGGGGGGTCCAGACCCCGCGGACACGCCGACGAACGGCGGCTCCCGCGGAGCGGCTCCCCCCAGGAATCTGCGTAGGAAGGCTGGCCAGCGGCCAACGATCCACAGACCCCATCGGTGCCGGCGACCGCGAACGGCCCCGGGCTTCGGACATCCCAGCAGCAACGGGCACCCCCGGGCGTGTTTAAGCCGGTGCACCCCTGGACTCAGGAGAAACACCGGCGGCGCAGAGGAAGACCACGGGCTGGGATGGGCGGGCGCCCCCGTTCCTGAAGCGAGGCCCTACTGAAAGGGCCTAGGCGCTACCAGTCACAGAAAGACAGCCTACCTGACATGGAAGAAATGCGATCAGGCTTCTGCCAGCTGTGAGCTGACTTCTGCCTTCCACATAGTACCACCGGCTACCTTTGGCCCATTGACACGCGTGCAAACGTTCCGTGGGCAGAAAGTGAATCTGGGGGGGGTGGTTTACTATGGGGTGGTCCGTGCGTCATGCCGTTTTCCCATACAAAGTGGGCCACCCAGGTTCGCCCCCTACCCGGGCCATAGCTGGACTTAGCGAAATTCGCGATCGTTCCGCCCACCACCTCGACCACCCAACCCACACCACCCATCCGCCATCCTCTGCTCGATCCTACCTGCCCCCCTGCGCGTTCCGACCAACCTCCCTGCTTGATACTAACCTGCCCGCCCACGCTGGTCGGTCGACGGCGCCGTCCCGCCGGGAGAGAGGGGGTCCCCAGGCGAAAATCTATATGGTGGCATCCCGGTGGTCGTGGGCGGACATATATATATATGGAGGGTGGTGCACACACTTGGTCTGCACGGAGATCTACTGTCGTCCCGCCCTTCCCTGCACCGCGTCGCCCCCCCTGGCCCCGAGCCCAGGCGCGCGTGGGCCACCCA